GTTGTTCCTTTTTCTCTCTGGAATGGAAACACGGTAATATCTCGTAAACCGTTGATGATACGATAAAATTGTTATCACCGGATTTTTCTTTTTGTACCACGAAGAGGAACGTGGTGCGTAAATGCTCCAGTTTTTGTTATACGAAGGTAACTTTTTAAGCTTGATTTAAGTTTTTGAAATAAAATGTTATGATATAGTGGTGTGGGGTGAAATGAGTATGATGTGCCATGTAAGAATTTTACGTACGAAAGTGCCATTTGCACTGTAACGAGCCTCTTTGTGTGAAATAACTTCCTGAATAAAGATGTTTAGATATTCAGCGCGTGTGCATAAAAGAAATCCACTGAATTCATTTCCTCGCGAACGAATACTCGTGTCCGATAATGTGGACCGACGTGGGAAATTGAAAGTTGATATTATGTTGACACGTTACAAAAGGGAAATTTGAACGTCCACCTGTGGATACAAACGGCGAATCAGTTGCAGTGTCCACTTTTGTTACACTGTGAACGCGCACATTTTTCCCCATCATTTAATTCCTTTTTCGTTTGTCGCGTACTGCGTGCTTCGTAATTTGATTTACGCGTGAAAGGTACTGAAATCGGTCCAATGTGACGAGTCAGAGTGGCTGAACAAAACATTGGCTTGCTTTCTGTATTAACCATCCGAAGAACGTGAATTCAAGTCTGTCTCATCTAAGTGGTGGTCACGATTCTTTGTTCAGAACTACTGTTAAACGGGCTATAGTTGTGAACGAGTAAAGTAAACAGAACAGTACGTTACGTGGCGTAAGTTCGATCTCATTGGTAATTGAAACTCTAAAGAATTACTTTCAGACACCCAGTTTCTGATTTATTTAGAATTCTGCTTGTTCTTCATTATCTATCGTTTAACAGAAACTTGATATTTTCAGTAACGCGTAGTGTAACGTTTCTTCCTCTTTTCAAATTCAAATTCAAATTCAAGTTCTTTTCGAATCTCATTCGAATATCTTTGAAATTTTATAACTTAGATACAGTTTAAATTTAAGAAGAAAGTCTCACCATTAAAACATTCACCACATTTGCAGTTTATTATTTCAATACGGTCAGTACTAACTCCGATACACAGTTTTACCTACACTCACTACGAGAACCTAACGTCACGATTCTAAACAACACGTAGCTTGTCACCCCGGTACACTTTCGCAATTAATATGAATTGCAAATGAATTTGAAAATTGTACTCCGGTTAAAATGCGTGCTAAGTGAATGATACGAATATCACACTTATGCTCACGCGGCCGTGATTATTGCATAATCGATGAAGCTACGCGAAACCACGAATAATAATTCCAAACGGCAATGAATATGCATAAATGCCGTTTTCACGAATAGGACTGGCCGCGCAGCATTGTTTGCCACCTACATAGCAGCCATACGCAACATAGCAATTGACCGATCCCGAATAATGCTAATACGCCTGCCACAGATTATACATTTATTTATTTCAACGGATTCGTGTCACGTTTCCCCGTGAGTTGCATTCATCAACAAACTCCTCGTTTTTGTGAAGAGTTGATTGTTGCAGTTTTTACACTGATTGGTAGCTGCGACTCGTTGTTAACAGCATGTCGTAACATTTGCATAGAATTGAGGGAATTAATGATACTTTGCCATAAAATTAGATGTTAATTGTGAATTACGATAACAAGGAAGGAAAAATCACGTGAAATCGTGAATTTTTAGGGTTTCTATAGCTCAGCGACTAATTCGATGTTGAGAAGTCGATTCAGAGAAACATGGCAACAGAAAGCTGAGTATAAATGTTAGTCATTAATTCTAGAATTTTCGAGGCAGGTTCAGCCAGAATTGCGAGTATCCATTAGTGAACATAATTATCTTAAGCTTTACTACATCCATCCATAGGCAGGTTAATAGTCGTATAACTTTATTGTATTATACATGTTTTGTTCTATGATCATCACATGCCTCGATTATTGAAACAATGATAAAACACGAAACAAATTAACACCTACTTAAAATTGATTGCAAAGTAATTCTTTATACAGTTAACAACGTTCCACAAGGAAATAATTAGAACATTTGAACCTAGACGTATTTCCATGAAGTTTCTATTAAACGCTAACTTCGAAGTAGACGATTTAAAACATCTATCCAACACTCAAGCATTACGACTTACAATTACCTGCAACGAAAGCATTTCCCAACGTGAGAAATCGAAGAACTTCCCTTTCACATGAACCCGCAAAAGTCGCAATTTCATACGACGCGATTTATCAAAAAATGAAGAGAAGAAATCTTGAAATCTTCGCCGGCTAACCGAAGCTACCGAAACCGAACAGATCGATAAAGAAGATTGGAAGCTGGTACGTGCCGGTTAAATAAAAACGAGGAGTATCCATCTCCGACCCGGTGTGATCAAACGCATTCGGCGGACAGATTATCCGTCCATTTACAGAAATCTGCGAGGAACGTGAGAAGAACGTCCGCAAAACCGGTCGGAGGGATCGCCGCGACCAAGGGAGGTGGCGAGAAGAAAAATGGTGGCGCGGAACGTCGCCGGATAGCGAAATGTCGATGTTGCTCTAACCTTTTCCGTGTTCTCCGTGGAAAAAGTTCACCGGGGGTAAGGAACCGTGAGGCATTTGTCTCTCGCGTTCGGCGAGAGAAATCGATCGAGGGTATTGTTAAAGTGGCATGCCCGGAACAATGACTGAACGTGGACCAACGACGGAGAGGTGAGGGAAAAGGAAAAATTTTCACCGCTTCTCTCCACGGACGCCGACTCGCTCATAAACGTTTATCTTCCACAGTTCGCGGGATCACGGGCATTCGATCGATTAATCGCGAATGTAATTGACTTTTTGCGTTGCCGTCGGATAAGGATAATAAATTTGTCTCGCGGACAAGCCCGGCGGACGACCCCATCCCTCCACGGAACCTTTAATCCTCTATTTCTCGCTGTTTCGTTTGCTTTAATATCGTTTCTTGTATCGGTCACCGTTCGATTTCGCGCGGGTGATTAATTCGTACTGTTGCGTTCGGAAAGGAAATCTAATCATGGTTTGAGAGGCGAGAGATGAATGTCATTGATAACGCCCCGAGCAAGGGAGCTCGGAGCGATCGTTGCGGAAATATGATTTCGGGAAATGCGAAGTCTGGGAAGGGAATTTATAGAAAACGTATAAATTACGTTCTTTTGAAGAGGTCAAATAATCTATCTTCTTTTCTCAATTTTCATCGATACTCGGAAAGGCTATAGAATAATTATAATATTATTATATAATAACGTAATATATATTTCACGTAATATAATATCTCACCGGCGTTTTCAGACAAATATTAACATGTTGAATGCCGTGGGGGTCACCGGTGAATCAAATCAAATTACTATACTGATTCAATTAAACGGCAATTAAACACATTTGTACAATTCAAACAATGCTACCTAATGCGGCGACATTTAACAAGATGAGCGTGTAGTAATAATGCGATTCAATCTTAATATTATATCTTTAATATTATATCTTTTCCATTTCGTGCATTTTGTTCTGTGAAATCGTGCGACGTTCGACGCGTTAACGATCAAATTTCTCATTAGAAAACATCATAGCTTCGCGTTAAGGAATATCATACGTTCTCGCGTTCGTCGAAAAGAATGACGTGATCGTCGCGTACAATGTGGCAACCGGATACCGAACTAGACAACGCGGACCACGGACTATCGGACTGATCATTCCGTTACATATTGGTTTCATTACGGATGGAAATTACTCGCGCGTATCCAATATTTCAAAGGATATTAGGCGACACATCACGGAATTCCGAAAGATTATTACGTTATCATCGGATGCGGAACATCCGAGGCACTCGATTTGCCGCGGCACCGTCATTTCCCTTGTCCTTTCTGCACTGTTATTGCGCCTTACCAGTTTGCTTTGTACGCGACGCGACAGGCGCAGAGATTGTAAGGAGACAGTGCCAGTATACCGTTGCAGGTCAACCATAAACGCTCTCGGAGGCACGAAACTTGTCACACTTCCGAACAGGCACAGAGGATTATTATAGTTGCGTGCGGGATCACGCCGACGTAACGTGATGTTAATTATTTCCGCTCTTAATTGAACCGACCGAACTTCTGTTTTTAATGTCCGAACAGTTTACGGAGTTGCGTTACATTTAGATGCGCGGTAATTGGAAATACTGTAATTGCGAACCTTTCATACGCTTGTTCTGTTCCAGGTGAAACTTAATTTATTCGCTTTGGTCGTCTTCAATGTACTACTCTGCGAATGTTTCGTAACAACAATTTTCATGCGTTGGAATTCGAAATCCAATGTAATATTTGTAAATTATCCAGAAGTGGAATGTTGATGAAATATTTTTATTCTGATCGAATCTGTGTATTTTATTTTCTATTAAGGAGAGAAAAAGTTGTTACACTAACGATAGTTTGGTTCTTAAGTGTATTATAAAGTAAAACCATCACTTACCTTTGACGATTTCTCACCATTTCATAATTTTCTTTAAACAGACAATGGTCTGTTCGTTGTAAGAAATTAATGTCGTTGAATATTTTCGAAACAAAAGAGGAACTGACGAATAATACGAAGGGACACGAAAAGAATGAAAATCGAGGGAGGTCTCAAGTGATCGGAATGGAAGATTCGAGAATAATGAAATAGTCGTTTATAATGGCAGTCATGTATTCGATTTATTAAGATATTCAGACCGACAGTTTCACTATCTACATCTAGTCCTCGTCTCGCGGATCGCTTTCAATGTCCGACGAAATCGCATAAAAATTTCTCGCGTTATAGTGAAACCGTCGGGCATGATACATTAATAACGGTATCATAATTATTTAATACGACATATCTATGATCGCTGCAGCTTCGATTTCTCGTTTTCATTTTTTTTTTCATTTTCTTTTTCATTCTCTACTGGTTACGATGTCCTCATACGATCATCGCCATATCGTTTCCGAAACAGTTAGTGTATATGCTATCCACAACACTCGCATGTAGCATTCGTTTTAACAATTCCGCAGCCTCGAATCGTCACCCGCGCAAACGACGATACGGATTGATCACAGCACAAACATATCTACAATATTTACAGAATTAACCGGCAAAGACGCGTTACGTTTCTCGTATCTCCCGACTGAACCGCACACGCACGCCATGTCGCTGCGTATCGGAAATAGAACTGGGCGAAGCGTTCTCAAAATGGCGCACCATCTTTCAAAAGTTCGGAATCACTTTCTCGATATTCCTATCATATAATACAACAATATTAATATCTTATCTACCAACAGTTATTCAACAGTCATTAAAAATCAAGGTTAACAACCGAAGATTTCTTAGTAAATCTTTCCATAACAATAGCAACTGCATTTGCGAACTAAGCGTTCTAGAGTAACGTAATTAAATTCATTCTTCGTTTATTTTGATTATCACCAAAAAGGAAATTATTAAGCCTTTTGTTGTATTGGACTGATATTGAAGAGACTTCTGATAAGCGTAATGTTGACGGTAACACTGATTGTGCGCGATAATTTAATTACGATATGTTTGAAAATTAGTTAAATGGTAATGCATTATTATAGAATTATTAGGGTTCCATGGAAATTTTGATATTCGAGGATCAAGTAGAAAGTTTTACTTATTAGCGTAATAAGGATCTGGAAAATTGTAAAAGTTTGTAAATATAATCCTAAACGGTTGTAAAACGGTTACTATAAGAAGTTAGTATTTAAATAATGATAATACTATATAGTAATATTTCGTTGTGAACAGCGCAAAGTTTTTTTTGTTTTTAGTCGAAATTTGGATAGCTTCTAGAGGATTATTCGCGTAATGTATTCATAAAAAATGTTATCAATACTTGTAATTTGAATAATCATACTAAGAGAATTACTCTTGCTTAATAATTTCTTGTTTTATTTTCTGTTTCCCAGAAATGGTTATTGAAGAATTGTATAATTCGTAGAAGTTGTTACGAAGAGGTTGTTATGAAAAGAGATTATTAAGGATTGTTACAAATAATGATAATGTTCCCTTCGCCCGCGTTCCAAATACATCGTAAAATCGAAGAATATCCTCGGTACACAGTCGTGTGATTCTGAACCTTTCAATGACAGTGCATCCACGATGCACATTCAATTCGAACGAAACATGAAATCCGTTTGAAAACAATGTCTCCGTAGAAATTACAATAATGTATTGTCACGAGTCAGTTTTTGTTGGTTTCTCTCACGTATGATTATTACTATGTGGATTAGAAACGTATAGTGGTGGTAATATCCGTAGACCAGGAAAAGAGTTCCAAAAAGTGATGTTTTACCTAAACTATGTATAGTGGAATCTCCATTATTTATGCACTTTATCAAGCCACATACTCCCTCACGTAACCTTGCATTCCCATTCTCCTTGAAGCATTTGAATACTTCAAAAGCGTTGAAAATTCAATGGTAACATCCACCAGAACACTTTACCATAAAGAAAAAAGAAACAGAGATCCTTAACAATTTTCGACGCAACAGGAAAGAAGATCTTTAACGATTCAACGTGCAAGAATGCAATTGGGAAACGTGTTACTCAACAACTACCTGATAAATGTAACATACGCAAAGGGATCCTATATTCTCTGTAAAATTTACGGTTGTATTACTAAACCATACGTACCATCAGCAGCTTATAACGTTTCGTTGTCGTCTCACGCGAACGCGTTAAAATCAAATACCCGGACAGTGTGTACACATTAATCTGAGCCGAGACGCGCTCCCCGGATAATGGAGATTCCACTGCGTTCCAGTGAGGTTCCACGGCGAATATGTCCCGGAATCGTTTGCTCTACGTTCGTCGCACACTTTAAAGTCTCATTAAAGCTAAAAATATTGTCGTCGACGTGTTGGCCCGCGCGAGAACCGTTCGGTGGTTCCGCGCGCGCGGCGGGTGCATAATTGAACTGAAACGACGAAGCTCTCTGCTCGAAGACACCGTCGTTGACGATTCGAGGCTACGCGACGACGACGACGGCCGTCGTTCATCTCTCTCTCTTTTTCTCATTCTTTCACTCTCGCTCTCTTTCGTTTTCTCTTCCTCTTTCTCTCCCATCCCGCGATCTCGTAGCGCGGGAACATACACGGGGTTGTATTCTCACCATTAAATTCATTGGATAGTTTCGCGTCTCGCGTAATAATTACGTATGGTACCGACTAGCTTCTCTGCCGCCACACGGTGCTCCGGATTATCGGATTGCGAGAAGATACTTTGAAAATCATCTCCATGATCTTCTGAGGCTCTTTGGACGGAGCCTTGAATGATAAGAACCAGTGACAATGACGAAAATAAATGATAAAAATAATTTCTTTTGAAGTATAATTTAAGATTTTCGAAAATTAGTCTTAAATAGTAGTCTACCAAATTGTGAAAACATCAAATCCCTCTTGTTCACATTGATCACTATTTTCTATGTATTTTTGCATTTCATACGAGATATAATTGAAAACAAGTCGACAGAATAACAGCGGTATTGCAGTGAAATTGTATATAGTAATATTGCATTTAAAATATTGCAAAATATTAATACGAATACCCGTATACAAGATTTAGTCACCTTCATGTTGTTGATTATTGTTGATCAATGGAATACCGGGAATTGTGCGTTTAAGTAGCATACACAGTACACGTTTCATATTGTTTGCATCGTTTCACCTTCTTCGGTTTTGCACACTGCCCTCGTAACTGTAGAATTCGGAGCACCGCGCGCCGTATAAGTCCATGCACGCGCCGAACGCGATCGAACGGCTAATGAAAACATCGGGGCTCGTCTCTCCCCGACACACAACTACGATTCGATTATATTGTATATGGTAATGTGTTATGTATGTTTTCGTTTATCCTTTCATGCGTACGTATATGCATTTCGTTATATGCACCGAAGTAGAGCCGCGTTCCCGGTCGCGGTTCGCCGTGGACGACTGGCCGACCGGAAATCGCTTTCGAAAGTTTCCTCGCCTTCCCCCTTTCTCGTATCCGAGTAATGAGATCGTCGAACGCGTAGACCGAGATCGAGAGCGTGCGCGGATATTCTGTTAAAAATAATGATTCTCGTCGGTCGAGGGCTCGCGTACGTCAGTGCTGTTCGAGAGTTTCCGTGCGCTTTGAGTCCTCATCGCGCACCGTCGCTATGACTATAGACGACGGACTTGTTGTCTTGAAAAGAGAACATTCGAGTGTACAACACATGATCGTTGTACACCACTACTTTCAGATTGATTTGGACAGCTATTATGAACATCGATGTGCCTCAGGTTTCTCCTTTCGGGAAGAAACTACAGTAACGGTTCCTGCTCCTTAGCGTCACGCAACTTGGGAGAGCCAGCTGGACACACATTGCAGAACAATGGAAGTAATTTTAACTTCGCCTTTATTGGCTGTTGCTGATAACGAAATTGACAACTACAAAATAAATACTCTTCATCTTGTACATTTGCAAAGTTGTCACCGTATACATAGGGAATTGCCCCTGATTAAACATTAATTGAAATAGAATACAGCCACTTAATTTGTAGTTATATTCCTTTTCACACAATGTTTCTCGTTCTCATCTCCAACTTCGCCAGCATCGAGCGAGCATCTCTGCGCCGAAGACAGAAACCAAACGGTAAGGGGGTCGGCATAGCGTGACGCTAACGAGGGAGAAACCACGGTAGACGGTGGCAATGATGAAAGGGAGGGAACACAAAGGTTATCGCGTTCGACGCGGATGACAATGACCTTACGATAGCGTGCCGGTATCCTTGGCGACGCGGCCGGAGCGGGGAAAGTTCGGTTTACCGTTGCGAGCGAAGCTTGGACAGCACTGACGCACACCATCGTCGCGTTTAAGGAGAGCGTCTTTAGGCTTTGGATATCGTGCCGCATTTTTCACGGGCGCGTATCGCGCGGGAACGTTTATCCAACACTCGAAAACACGAAACCTCCTACGGTGGTGCGGGAAGAGGGGGACCTCGCGACGGCTTACGGAGGGATATCCACGAATATTTATGGAATCAGTGATATTTACACGGGGTAATTGGCCGAAACGAAGAAAGCCCGATACACACATTCTGCTTCACCCTTTCCCCTCCACGGCGAGCGCACTCGCGCGAACGTTATCTAATTGGATTATCTAAAACACGCTTCTTTTTGATTAAAAAAATCAGGTTGGCGGAACGCACGACGAAGCGAAGGCGTGCGGACGAGACCGACTCGAGCCTCAGCTGGTTGGTTAAGCACTCGTCGTAAGTTGGCTGATTAACCGCAAGCTGAAAGTTATCGGGGCAAAGGGATTTGTTCAATCACGATGCTCTGGTTCGTGATTGATTCGATCGGTCACGATTCGGTAGCTATAGCAACAGCGACTCCTTGACGTTGACATATTTTTGTTATTAGCTCAACAGCCCAACGAACAAAGCAGATGAAATAGAATGCAACGGAATGATATGTAACGAATATTGTTGCCTGATTCCGTTTCGCTGGCTTCTTATCTTCACGAAATTTCGATTATATAGAGACCCGAGTACTATGTTTCCTGTAAGGACCGAAATAGACCGTGCGATCGATTCCTTGCCCTGTGATTTTTCAGCTTGTCGATAGTCGGCCAACGCGTCTGAGCTCGAGAATACAGTGTGTTTCCCAAGAAATGGCATCCGTGATGGCGCGAAAGCAAAAGTAGTCTTTTGCTGTGTGCTTTGCGTAACACGACGGAATTAGTATGTGCGATCGTTCAGCAAATCGCACCACTTACAATTAAACACGCATTCCTTTCAGATGCCATCTCCTAGGCAACACAAGATACAATGCGTCTCTCAGGTCTTGGCTAATTATCATTCACTCCTGTGACTCTTCAGTTTGTCAGTACTGCGACAGGAGTAAGCTGGAGAATATCTGCAAGCGAAAAATACACAAGGGCAAGAGTTTTCGTTTGCTCCGCCCCATTTCTTCCAAAGTCAGGCCTCCGTGTCGTTGGGATTCGTCACTATTGATTTTCTATCGTTGCATCTCAGTTTGTCGCATCTCGTTTCGCCCGTGTTCTATTAGAGGGATTTGATCTACAACAACGATGCGTCAAAGCGAAGGTATCACTGTTGCTATAACTACTCTTGCCCCTGCGCGGTTTTAGCTCGTCGGTAATTGGCCAAGACGCGAGAAACCTAGTACATATAACCTCCGCGCGCCGAGTTTCTTCGTTTCCGCGCGTGAACAAACGATTTTCAAAAAATCGCGACGGGATTCACGGGGTCGCTCGGAATTGTTTTGTTCACCGTGGCGCGAGAACGGAAAATGATTCGTTAACCAGAAGCCTAAGGATCCCATCATACTTACGGCAGTATACTTACACAACATATTATATTTTTTTCAATTTTATTTATATTTTTTATATATATATCTTTGTATGTATATATATATATATTATATATCCTCTTTGCTCTCTGTATACGTCCACTTTTTAGTATGAAAATAATTTCAAGCGCGTCTTGTCTCGTCGCACTCGTCCATCATCCCAGCCGGATCCGGCGCGCCGGAAACTGGCGGCCGTCCCCGGTCTGGTCACCGTCCAATAAACACTAGAACTGGAAGCCCCGTTCCCGCGACGTGAGAATCACCTCCGGATGGCTGGAAGTAGCAGTGACAGCAGACTCACCAAAAGATGAAGAACGAGCTGAGCCCGATGGGATGCGGCCGGACTCAGAGCATCGACTGGAGGCTCGCCGGGCGGCCTCATCGATGGCGACCCGTAGTCCCTGTTGTAATCTGGAACCAGAAACAATTCGCTTGTCCTCCGATCGTTCTCTGTTTCGAATTTATTTAATCCCTTGTTCTACAATTTCTTTGACTATGCTTGCAAGAACAGTCGTTAATCATTTTCAGGAAAGAACGAGAACTTCTACAGTTGCCTACACATATTATCTTCAGCATGGTGCTAAAATATAATCTGTCTACATTACGCAATAGAGAAACGAAGGAAAAGAAAACTTACGGGAATTGCCAATTGAATTTTTAAACGTAAGAAGATTAAAGTTTGTTTCGTAGTGTTATTTAATGGTCTTTGCATTGACGTCAATTGAAGCGCTTAGATGATTTATTCCGCGGGAAACGAAGGAATCTCGCGGAATTGTATGGAATTCCAGAATAACTAAATCGAGTCGTACTTGTTCACTGTTTTATGAAGAAACAAGGTTCTCCGAGCACAATGGGACGCTGACCGTGGGAACTCCGACTTACGACGATATGAATCGGTTGTATTTATTTTCCATGGGACTCGTATCGCCGCGTTATTGTTCGGTCGTAATCCTTCTAAAATTGTACACCGATTGTTCGCACAATTACCGTCCAAAGTTTCGATTATCCGAGTGTTGTATTACTATTCGAACGCATAATTATTCGAACAACATGTTCCGCCGTGAGCTTTGTTGTATCTTCATTTCTGCATCGCTTAACTCCCGCCCTCTTTCTCCTCCGACCAACGTGGGAATTCATAGTTAATTCTATACGGAACGATTTAACGCGGATGAGAAAATGAAAGCACGCGGGACGATTATGGAAATTAATAAAATCGTTACACGCGATACGGTGCACAGTGTTGGCCGCGTAACGAAGCTGTCGCGCGAAAATACACGACGCTCCTGAATTATTCATCTCTAGGAAAATGTTGCTACCAGATTACGAAGTGTCGACTGTTTTTTCGGTGGTTGGATGTAAGTCTCGAAACCACGAACAAATAATATGGATTTCTACTTTGAACTCTGTGTTCAACTTTACTCGACAAACTGTCCTAAAATTGGAATTTAATATCTCCGTTACTTCATCTAAATTCAATGAATTATATGTAGCATAATAGAAAGATCCTCTAAAGAAAATTTTATACCTCAAAAATTCAAATGATTTGATAAAACAGTATTAAAAACAACATTGTATCATAACATTCCTTCGACATTTTACTCTCCTTCAAACCAAATTTGCATATGTAACAAGTGCAACAATCTTCCTTAAAATATGTAACATCATAAATGGTACCGTATTCACATTAAAACTACAGAGCAGTTAAATTAAGTTTTCGAAATTTCTCTGTAGCAATTTCCAGAGTGCATCTATTGAGACTTCAATTGATTTACAATTCAGTTTGTCTGGTGCTAAATCAATTTCTTTAATAATTTCTCAGAGAAACATTCGTCATTCTTTTAATCATTAAAAAAAAAGACATCAAGAATGGTCACTTTGACACGTTCGGTAGTTTCAGTGTTGAAGCTTATAGAGTGCAAAGATTTCCACAAACCACAGAAATCGATACGTTGAACAAAAGTGCCTTGCAAGACGTACATAAATTGTTTCAAACATATCCATCCCTACAACCTAGCCATGAATCCTACAGATCGGCGAAGAAGTAGTTAATTCGCAAGTCCGTCAAGAGGATAAAGGGTGAAATAAGTAAGGGATGAAACGGGGACGCCAATTCTGGGATCATAAAATGTTATTGAAACTCGCGGGGCAGAAACGCGGTGTGCAGAGGAGCCGGTGATAACCGGGGACGCGCGGAAATCGCCCAACGGAGCGGTCATTATTTCAATAGCGCGGCGGAATGTACGCGCGCGCACGTATCAGTACAACCGGATACAGAAGGTGAATGCAAGGAGTTGCCGCGGATAATGCGGGAACCGGGAGCGATGCGCCGTTCTTCCGCGTCTCGGAATTAAATTCTACCAAATTCCCTGAGCTCTACGGAATGTAGGATATTTGGACCGCTCGAATCCCTTTTTAACGAGATAAAAGGCTCTCTAGGTGTAGCAACCGGCTCCGCGTATATTTATAACCTGCTGGATATCATGCGGCGGCTGTTAAAATCAGGTCGGCAGGACGGTGTCGTCAAAGAAATGGGACTCCGTTATATAACGAACGGTTGAACATTCTTCACTGCTGCGTCGATGATCAATAAAATATACAATTGTAGTATCGAGAATATTTATTGTAGGATGAATGGTTTGTTGTGCGTGCGTAAGGGCGACCAGGTCATATTGCGACGGACCGGCGCCGGGATGTTTGGGAAATAGTGTGACTGCGTTTAGACAATTTCGAGTGGCTGAAAGAATGCGAGGAAGAGTGTCTGGAACTGAGCGACTGAACCGTGAGAAAAGTGTGTACGTGACTGCGTGAATTTTGACTATGGACGGAAGATGCGAGTGAGAAGGATGCAAGGGTGAGAAAGACAGAGCGAATGGGGGTGTGTGATAAAAGCGAGTGGAAATGCGTGCATGGGGACATTTTGGTGAGCGACAGCGGAGAAGAACATTTTTGGTGCGAGAGTCGTGTGTTGTATTTTTACGTGTTGTCCGTATTGTTTTCTTTATCTTATTAAATATATATTGTTTTCCTAATTCTCTTTTTACTGAAGATCCACATTTTCAATATCATCTAATAGTAAAACCACCACTATACTATACAATCGAAACGATTGTCTTGAAAGATAAATTAGAAAGCAGAAAATCTTTGTGGTGAATGCTATTTTAATCTTCTTGGGTTAAAATAATTTATGATTTCAATGAATGTCGGTTTGTTCAAAACTGTCAGAAAAGTTCATTTGTGAATGTATATGGAAATTTATATCTCTTCTATTTAACGCGGTAGTTACGGTATTGAGGAAATTACGGAGGTTTGCATTTTACGCGTCAGATATATGATTCAACGTTAATTTAAGTGAATTTTATTAGATGAATTCTTTGCGATAGGGATTTCTATTTCACGGGTAGTTGGGTGTATTAATGTATATCAACGTGCCCACGTGTGCACCAGTATAACCTGCAGTATTCTCTAGCAATGTATGATCCGTTCGTTGCAGCGAGCTGAATTTGTTCGCGGGAAGCAAGATACTCGCTCGCGAGAATTAAACACGGCGCACGATACTTTTAGACTAATCAAACTGGGCTAGGTAACAATTCCAAATTTCCGCTAAAAGATTAAAACGTAGCATTTGCGTGGTACAACCGCGATTAAATTTGTTCTCGAAAGTTACTCGCAGAGGACTAAGAACATCTTCTCGGATGTTGCTATGTACAGCGGGGCTGCCAGCAGTAAACTGACAAAACTCGGCTTTAGAACAGTGAAGCAGACAAGTGAAACAGACAAGTGAAACCGACCAAGTGATAACTGAAGACTTATTATTCTGTGATTAAATTTTACTTGTCGTGCCAGCACCTCGGAATCCCTGATAATTAACGTTATACCGGATATTCACTTGTAGCTGGATTTCCCATGCTTGAGATTCTAATTCCGATTTCTTTTTCAATTAACGAAAATTATAAACGTCCTCTCCCACGAAGTATAAGTTTCTCTAAAAGATTTCCAATTAAATTCTTCGCAACATTTGTTCCGCGTAAATAAAATTACCCAAATATTCGCAATATCATGTTCAATTATAAACAAACCATCAATAAATCTGCATAAAGAAAATATCTGGCTCTTTTCACGTAAAAAATTTACAAAGAAGCATCTTTATCTTGTTCTACAAGCAAACTAATCCTTCAAGGTAGTATAACCACTCGAAAATTGAAAACAAAATTGTTCCCAAAGTAAAATTGATTATTTAACACTAAAACGACGGCGCCACAAATCAAATGGCGCAACTATTGAGACTTCGATTAATTTGTAGTTTCTATATTACTAAATCAATTTCTCTAGTAATTTCTCAGAGAAGCATCCGTTATCTTTTCAATAGCTGGAAAAAAATCATGAATGGGTCATTTTGATTCATCCAGTAGTTCTAGTGTTAAGTCCTTCATAACATCGTATTGACGTAGCAATAAAACCGACCATTTTCGTCGAGCCGTTTCGCTGCACGGGGAACCCGAATAATGTACTTTTTCCGAGGGTTGAAACAGGGTGCGCCGCCGTAAGTCATTTCCCGCAGATCTCGAAGATGCCCGTTAGAGTCGCGTATTACGACGTCGGCCTACAGAATTTCGAAGCATTTGATGGATTGCGTTACAGAAGGCCTGGAAACAATTTATGAAATTATTCCCGGGAGGATCGGGGGAACGTGAACGCGGCCGGACGTATCGCAATAAACAGAGAGTTTATCGTCCAGTTCGATTCTTTCCTGCGCCCCGTGGAACTTGGTTCAATTTCGCCTCCCCGAGCGGACGGCCGATTGTTCTAAGTTTTACGAACGCCGTCCGAAGTTAAATCAACATCGCCACCTGTGGCGCTAATACAAATCCGGTAATGTTGCCGGCTATGAATACATGAATACCAACGTGGGAAGAAGTCGATACCCACGTTTACACTGTTAACCCCCTCCGGAATTTCAACGTGGCCAGGTGTATCATGCGAATAGGAGCCTAGGCAGTTTCATGTGTACATAGGTATATGTATACGGTTACCTATCTACGTCAAACATCTTCAATTCCGCCGGATGAAGTGAAACTTCACCGGCCTAGCGTGCTCCAGAGATGATCCAACGTTTCCAACACTGACGGGTCGATACGCATAAAATTTAATTTTCGAAAAATTGCTGGCGTGTTAGCTGCCAAGTAAGAACGGTTTATGTGCGATCCTGTTCCTTCTTTTTCTGGGCATCTCGTCGGTAACCGTTTTCCTAGCGAGTCCGTCGAATGCACTATATTTGGCGTTGCTTCGAATTTAGGGCCGCAAATTGATGATAAAATTTTGTGTACAAGTTAAAAGAAAAGGGAAATAATATTGAAGATGTATGTACCTAATGAATGTAATGGAATTGAGAAGTTTTTGATAAATCTGAGGATTCTTCAAATTCCCGTGTTTCTGCGTAATGTAAAGTAACTTGGTAAATATGCACCTGTATGTAGAGTATAAAAAATTGTTACATTAACACTGAATATTGTAGTGCTCTTATTATTATCAACGAAGAAGGTAAAGATCGCCAGAAAATTTTCTTAATGTCCGCAGATGATTGAACGCTTCCTCGAAAAGCTATTCCATTTTCATGTAGCGTATTCTGTGAAGAAAGGAAACGTATCGTTTTTCATCATTACTTACAACGTTTTCTACGTTCAGCAAATGGATAATTATTATGGCAGGCTATTCAGAGATTGAGAATAATGATTATTAGGAAACCTGCGTTAACGCACGCAGGTTAATGAAAATAAAATCCGAGTTCCAGTTGTTTCTCTTCATTAGATCGAGATCACTTCGCCTCGAAACGGGGCTGACAATTAATACGTCAAAAATCAGGGCCGATATATACAGTGCTATATATACTTGCCGAAGTTATAATTTGTAAAGTTTTAACAGGGAGCAGACCTTAAGTAAATGATACCAAGCAGAAAGTTCGGACGCATGTTATCTCTGGAAGTTTTGAAACAATACAAGTGAAAATTAGTTGGGGAAAGTTCTTTCGAACGAAAGCAATGCCATTGTTAATTATAAATCCCCCTCTACCCGCCTCCCGCTAAATCTTTTCTCCATCCGTTCGAATGCTACAGGAGCATTAAATCGGTAATACGGATAATGGAAAATTATTGTAAAACCTTGCTTCCGCGTCAGCAACTCCGTCCTCGTCCTACATCCGGCTCGCATATCGATTCTATTAAAAAATAAATATCAGCGCGTCGCAAATGTTCAAGAAACAAATTTTTCAGCGAAACAATCACGATAATTGCCACGCTCACTCGTTCGTATAAATTCGAAAAATCAACGATTACGATCGACGTTATACTATCACCCGTTCCTCTGTTAACTCCAAACGTTCCGTTCCCTTCAACATGCCACTGGCACACTCTCGCAAAGACCCCAAACGAATGAATACACAAAGGTCAGCATTCAATGATCAGATTTCAATGATCCCCTTAGAGTAAATGAATTCAATAGACACCGTTTGCACAGAAATTCCCGAGTAATCCCGGAAAAACGAGCACCATGGTCGCGATAAGAATGAACAGACACAACCGTTCGATCAATCGAATTAAATGTTAGATAAAGTTAAAGAACCTGACTGACACCGACGCGGCCATTTCGTTTAGAACAAAACGACGCTGGGCTCGGCTGATACGTCAAACGCGATCCGCCCTGATCGGGCGAAATTATTTCTCTTTCCATTGTGCCGGGAAAGCTTCGCGATATCATACCGCGTATTATGAGGGTCGCTGATAAAACATCACGCCGAAGGCTCTTTCGTTTCGCATGCCAATAAATTGGCAGCAACTGGCACGACCGTCAAAGTTCCCCGAACTCAGTTTCAATGACTTTGCTCCAAGATTCCCGGGAGCGACGGGCCGGTCCCGTCTCCCTTGCCTCCTCGCCTCCTCTTTTCTCGAAGTTTACTTTCAATTAATGAAAAACGAGTTTCGTTGACCTGCGGCCGTCGACTGCCTTCGGTGGCGAAACGCAGAAACGCCACACGGGGCGGAACGAGCCGGGTTCTTAACGTTTCTTTTCTTCGTCTCGCCCGTGAACAACCCCCACGCTCGCTTCAATTTCCTCGTTCATTCTCTTTCCCTCTCCCCAACTTTCTTTGCTCTCTTTCATTTGTTAAATCGATCGCCTCGCGCGTCGAACGCGTATAATAAAGTCGGAGTTCGCGACCCAGCGATGAATTGATCCTTACAGCGGCCCGTACGCGGGGTCCATGCGGCTTTAGAATTTTCGTTGGCATGATAATTGGCTGCCCTCGACTCCAGCCGTTGGAATGTTTAAACAATTGACGTTTTGTGTCTGCAAAGACTTTTTGGCGCATAAGGAAATCATGAGGAGGGAATATTTTTCTGGAGTATAACGAATGCTCAACGTGATCTTTCAAGTTTGCGAGGTTATGTCGGAATGTATTGTTGTATTTAGAATAATATTATATAAATTGTGTGTCGTATGAAGAAGTATTATATACTTATTAATCGGTTTGTTGAATGTGACGTGTAATTGATGTACAGTGGTGTAGGGATGTTTAGGATCTTCGAGCAACGTGTTCTTATTAAGGGAAAATAATAGATTAAAAGATTTTACTGGAAATATTTAAATATCTCCAGACACTTATTGTATCCCAATTGAATTCTAAATGAAGTTGTTGTTCGCGAAGGAGAACCGTGGCTCGTTCCGGGGGTGAACCATTTCACACATAATTTTGTATTGCCGCGCCACTTCCTGGAAGAATATTCAGACTTTCCATCGATATTCAAAATTTAACGGCACTTACACTGGTTCGATTGTTCGTCTCATGTGTATTCATAAGACATTAAAATGTTCAATATTCATAAGCTATGCGATACTTTAAACGGTGGCGGGCGAAATCAGACCAACGGCAGGAAAGAAATGAAACTTCAGGGGAATCCGTCTTTCGCTGGTGAAGACCCTTCTTTAAATGGAGTACGTTCCAGGCTTCGCGATTTAAATTAATCAGGGCGAATTGATTAAACGTCCATTAAACCGAAACGGAATATTCGTGCGGCGAACACGTCAGAAACGATTATTAAATTTTTACACAGAAACAAATTCGTCACTATAGTTGTGTATATTCGTAATTTGTTCGCGTACTTGTCACGTGGAAAAAACAAAGGAAAAATATATTAATCAACAGGAACATGATTTTGGTAAATTTGGAAGGTTCGCGTTTTCTCGCATTATATTCGTATCAAATACAAATATAGTTGGTGCACTATTGCATACATCACAGTCGAGTAAGATTAATATCGAATTCTGGAAATAGCGTTTAGCATTCTTTCCGAAACCGTGAAATTGCTACAGAAATGTGCATTGTTAGATCGAAGTAAGAGTGTTTACTTAGCACTATAAAAGGAATTGATAGCGGCGCCGATTACTCCAACTTCCCGTGTGAACGTGACTACCAGTCTAATTTAAGTTTAACGGTAGATCCAAAGTCTGATATGCAAGGAAAGTTCGTCGTTTGATTGATACAAACTTATTCGCAACTCCCGGGAAATTAGTTCTTTACAGATTCCACGATAGAAATCTCTGTAACTTAAAATAGCTCATCGTTCATAGTGCTATTAATGATAGTTAATTCGTCTAGTTCAAATATAAAGGAATCATACATAAATTAACACCCGAAAGAAATAGATAATCAAATCAATTAATACAACGAAAATGACCAATTCCTGATTTCTTCTTTTTGCAATTATTAAATAGATGATACATGTCTCTCTAAGAAATTACTAAAGAATTCGATTTAACAATACGCAAATTGAAATGTAAATCAATTAAAGTCTCAATACATGCACTCTTGAAATTTCTATAGAGGAAATTCAAAAAATGAATTTAATTTCTCGGTAGTAGTGTTAACCCTTTGCATTCGAAAGGTGACTCTCAGTCACCATTAGATTTCACACATGGAAACTATAAAATCTGATATTTAATGTTGAACTTTGTATAATGCCACGATACGTGAAACGTTGGAATAAAATAGCTTCGTTCTGCAATGCACTTGTGATTTCCCTTCGAGTCAGTTTCGAAGAATACCGTCTTCGTCTGGTCAAAAAATGTTAAATATTTCTAGTGAGAAATTTCCGAGTGCAAAGGGTTAAAGAATCTGCGGTTCATCAATTTGATCAATGAGTGGCAGAAATCTCGCACGAGTACCTCACGCGAGATCGCCACCGTTCAAGATGTAGCGCAAGAATTCATTTCGGTCATTTGACAAGTGCACGAGCAAGAAATTGCAGGTACGAGGTGGCGCGTGGGCGACCAGTGAAAGCAAGGGCTCGTTCACGAATAAATGGAATCGGCAAACATCGATGATTCACCGAGATTTCATCGTGGAGGGAATCTCCGCGCTCTCGAATACGCGCCGTTGACGAGCTTTTAATTATGCTAATTACTCGAACGAGCCGGTAACGTATAAGAGGCAGCGAACCGGCGTGTATCGTCGTGGGAAATGCCAGGGAGTACGGGCAGCATCCGCGTTAAAATAGATATTTACTGACCTGGATCTCGCCATTCCTCGAGCTCGTAGTCGATAGGTCCGTGTCGTAATTTCTTGTTACCATTTCTACCTAAAATACATTACACAAAGGCGGTTTTACATGGTGTGTTTTACGGGCT